TCGAGGACGGGGACGCATCCCTGATGACGAGGACGTAGCCGGCGCGGGGGCTACGGGTGGAGGCGATGTCGCGGCAATTGTCGTATAGGGTGGAGAGGGAGGCGCCGTCGCGGTCGAGACTGTAGGCTAGGTGCCAGGTGTTGCAGAGTTGGAGGCGCGGGGGGACTAGAAGGCGGATTTCTTCGGCGAGGGAGCGGGTGAGGAGCGGAGAGGGGTCGGAGAGCGTGAGGGGGGTTAGAGGGGGTGGTTGGAAGGGGGAGGCGGTGCGGATGGGGGTGAAGACGGGGTTGGAGGGGTCATTGGTGGTGGTTTTGCGGCGCATGTTGTTGTTGGTGTTGGTGGAGGGGGGGTCGGTGAGGCGGCGATAGAGACCGGAGACGACGTGGGTTACTGGGTAGGAGAAGTAGGAGGCGGCGGATTGTTGGATGGAGGAGGGGGTAGTTGCGTTGGTGCTGGTGCTGCTGGTTGTGGGGGGTGGTCGAGATTCAGATCTCGAGCTGGAGGACGACATGCGTGCTGCTGCTGCTGCTGTGCGGGCGATGACCGTGGGTTTTTGGTTTGGGGGATTGATTAGTTAGGATGGGAGGGAAGGGGGGAGATTAATAATGGGGATAGGGGGGAGATCATGCAATTGAGATGGATGAGAGGGGAGGAGAGGATGATGTGGTGGAGAGTTAGAGGGAGATAAGACGATGGGACGGGGAGATGCAGAAGGGAGGAGATTAGTTAATTAATTAATTAATGTTCGTCACGCTTTGCGGATCGGCGGGAGAGCTTCTATGCGGAGGTTTCCTCCTGCCTACTTTTGGTAATTAGTCGTGCTTGTGCATGGCACGGCACATGCCAATTGTCAACATTTGTGTAGTTAGAATACGATTGGTGAATCAACAATTTACAACTATCTGCTAGTTACTAAACTACTGTATTCCTATTTCTGCCACACCTGCTCGACAAATGCTGTCAGGTCGGCCTTCAGCTCGCGTGGACGCTCCAATGCGGCAAAGTGTCCTCCCTGTCGATCAATGTCAGATTTTCAACGCACGAATTTATACTGGGGTTAACCTACCTCTGCATGATCCCGGAAGAATACTAGATTTCCCGTTGTAGCAATCCAGCTCCGAGGCACAGGACAAAGGTCCTTGGGGAAGAAGGAGAACCCAAACGGCTTGTGAATATATAATTCCTTCTGCAGCATCGTCGCTCTATTGGGAGCGGAGGCAGTTGGGGTAGTCTACACTGTCAGCACGCCAAATACTAATACTACTACTCGGTTACATTCTTCATACATACCTCACGGTAGGTATGGATTGCCCGCGGAAAACTCTCCGTCAGCCAATACAGGCTGACCATCTCGAGGATGGTCTCAGAAGGGAGGGGTTTATCCACCCATTGGAGATATTTCTCACCAATCCTGGATGCAGTCAGCCAGAATCTTTAACATATATTTGTCCGAAAAAAGCAAACCCACCATGCAAGTAATGCGATCGGACTGCTGGACAGCACGTGGCCAATAGTACTGGGCCGAGTACTGTGCTCCATGGCATAAGCTAAGCCATCGGTCATGAACTTCTCCATTCGCGCGATTCCCTCCTTCTCCGCTGCGGACAAGCTCTCAATTGACGGGCCGTCAGGGGGAGCTCTCATTGCGCACAGGTTCACTATACTGTTGGTGTCTTGTAAACATATATGAGGGCGGTGCACTTACAATGAACCGCTGGTGGAAGTTAGCATGGCAGCATATTCGATGGCGAAGCAGCACTAACCTTTGCAGGCGTCGAAACTCACGCCTAATAGTCGTCCAACAAAGCTACCAATATCGCCACCTTGAATAATATAACCACTTCCGAACCCGAGGTCCTTCATCAACTGGTCTACGACCCGGGCGTTGTCCATCAAGCCGAAGTCCTTGTCCAGCGGGGGACCAGATGAAAAAGTATACCCAGGAAGGGACGGAACAATCAGATGGAATGGAAGAGTCTCAGGGGTGTACTCCTCCCGGAATAGCTGCAGGATTGGGTAGAACTCAACGAAGCTGCCTGTAGACTCATTAGACCTGTTGAACATACCGTAAGCGAGGCGAAGTATATACTTACCAGGCCAACCATGGAGCAACGCGATAGGCACAGCATCCTCTCTCGGTGAGAATAAAGCAGCAAAATGAATCGTGAGACCTTCGATCTCCGTAGTAAACTGAGGGAAAGAGTTCAATCGAGCTTCAAACGGTCGCCTACATTGGCCTGTCAGCATTGCACATCGATGGTCCAGACAGGCAGACGAACCAGTCAAACTCCGAGAGCCATTTCTCTCGCATAGATGTCAGCCATTCGGAAGTGATGCCAAATCGGCCATCCGATTGCAGGCTCTCATAGGTGGGAGGAGCAATCTTGGACAGTCGGATGAGGGTCTTCAGGTCATTCAACTGTTCATCCGGAATGGAGACAGTGAAGGGATTCGGCGAAATGCTCGCCGACGAGGGAAACTTGGCGAACGGAGCGGACATGATGAGTCGTAGCTAAGGGGATATATGAACAGAAGAAACGGAGATGAAAGAGAGAAGTGGTGAGAAATGAGGGGTTACCCAGAAAATGTATTGAATGATAAGCAATATTAGATTATGGGCGGGGTCACGGCTGGTCCGAGGCTCACCTTCACTGCTACTAATTATTGCTCCTCCAGTGAGCATCACGCAGATACGACAGCGCAAAGATTGGACAGACCTAGCATGCTTATCAACATTTCTGCAAGCCCTCTTGGCATTGCACCAATCATCTGTCATTATAGGAGTCAGCATATACCACTACCTCTCACCTGATGCGGATGGGTGCAGCTATCACTCATTGAAGTAGCTTAGTTCTCCCGTCCTCTATTTATTCGAGACTATGATTTTCCACGAAAGGTTTGGAGAATAAGGACTACCTACAAGTATTTGGGGATCTAAGTAATTTTAACGAGGCCAGCAGATCGACATGCATGTATACGGCCATCATCATGCGCAGGTAGAGAAGGAATCGCAGTTGATTGGATCACTTTCATGGCTACTACTGCAGTAAGCTCGACTTCAACATAAAGTTAGATTTTGAGTTATATCATTGTCACTGGTCTAACTAAACTGATTGGAGATTATTATCTAGACAAGTCACGTCCACTTGTGTCCGGAATCCCTTAGAACAAACACGGGCAGTATAAACTGAAGTATTAAGACACCCTTGGATACCTCCGCGTGGTAATGAATATGGTAGCTAAGAAAATGAAGACACTAATAAACATCCTTTCTGTCATAATAAACCCTTCCAACCCTATCTACATATAATCCTTGGTCCTCTCCTCACAAAACTCCCAAAACTCACACGCCCTCCCCGTCCCACCCTCCTCCTTACTCTTCATTGCATCCAACAACCCCGGCGCCACAGCATCATGGATCCTCCCCCAAGGAACAACATACGCACCATTATTCTCCAGTCCCAGATTCCCTGACAACCCCGCATACAGCACCGTATGAGCCGCCAAAGCCGGACTATGTAGCAGCGGCCAGGAGAGAATCTTCATCCAGCGCGCATTCCTCAGAAGATTCGTATTAGCTGCGCCCGGATTCTGCGCTACGCTGACGATGCCCTTCTCGCCATACCGACGGGCCATTTCCGTGGACAGGAACCAGTTGCCCAGCTTGGAGGTGACATAGTTCCGCACAGCGTCTTTCGGTGGGTTGGTTAGCTCCGACATGATGATGCCTTCGGGCGGAGCGGAGAGCTCGGCGACTTGACTGCTTGTCCAGACGACGCGGACGGAGCCGGAGGTGGTGAGTCCAGAGTCGGATGATGCAGCGGCTTCAAGGAGGGGGGTTAAGAGCTGGGTGAGGAGGAAAGGGCCTAGACAGTTTGTTGCGAGTTGGAGCTCGATGCATTGTTTGGAGACGCTGCCTAGCGGGGGTTGGGACACGCCAGCATTGTTGAAGAGGAGATCGAGCTTGGATTCTTTGCTGATAAAGGTAGAGGCGGTAGCCTTGATGGCAGAGAGGTCGTCAAGATGGAGTTCGAGGAAATGTAGCTCGCCTGGGCTGGACTTGCTAGCCTCAGGGACGGACTTCTGGATAGCCTGGATGGCCGCGTGAGCAGCGGTCTCTGATCGTCCTGCTATGTATACTTTGGCGCCTTTTCGGTAGAGGACCTTGGCTACTTCGAAGCCGATGCCTGATGCGCCGCCGGTGATGAGCACCACTTTGCCCGATTGCTGGGGGAGGTCATCGGGGGTGAAGGTTGGACGGGGAGGGAAGAATTGAGAGAATTGAGCTCCCATTGTGGAGGTGGATAATAGTTGGTGCTGTGAGATGGCGATTAAGTCACATATTTATGTGTTGGGTTCTTGGCGAGGCCCCTGCAGGGTATATCTAGTCCCGTCAATCGTTATACATGTTTAGACGAGCGGACCAACCGGCGCTACTATAGAACTGACCGGCTCGGTTGTTAGCGTTGACACTCAGCTAGCTCTAGCACAGCCTGCTGGGAATTGGCTTTGTTTCCATTTCTGTGGTTGGCATGTTTTATGTAGATCATTACTTGTTGCATGAATGATAAGAAAACGACGATAGACTGGTGGTCGAGTATCGTTGGGAGGAAATTGTCCTAATGTTCTGCCAGCCTTGTGAAACGGATCTAGACACGGCCAAGCACATCACGGATTGTTATTGCCTTGCACTGTTTAGTTACCGCAGAATAGACCACTAATAAGGCCTTAATGCACCCCCTTTCATATCAAGGCAATAAATTCCGTAAGAACGCCGTTCCGATGTCAATCGGCAACATACCCGCTACGGCAACCCTCCCGACGCATCGGCATCTAAGTACAGTAGTACCCCAGTCTCGTAGTATTTAGATGCACTCATACTCCGCATAATCCTATATTCAAAGAATCTAATCCTCTGAGATCATCTTCCCTTGACTCAATTCTACTACCTCATAACACGCTCCACCCACAGACCCATAAGCAAAAACCAAAAAAGCACCATGCACCACCTCCCCAACCCCACCATCCAAACCATCCTCCTAAACCTCACACGCCCCAAAATCCACCACTTCCTCCACATCATCTCCTCCACCCTCATCTTCTTCTCCACGACCCCCGAACGACAACACCAACCCCCACCAAGCACCCTAGCCCGACCCAACGGACAACGCACGCTCTTCCGCCCCTTCACCTCCCCAGACAGCATCGGCGCCAAGCTCGTCGTCGAGCCAGCTCCCAACACTGCCACCGGAAAACGCGAGCACCCAATCCAAGGCCTCCTAATTATACTAGACCCGCTGAGAAACCCCACGGGAATCTTATCCGCCCAGGAAATAACCGGCTACCGGACGTCGATGAGCGCCATGATCCCGTTCTCCTGGCGGAAGCATGTATCGAATATCGTGATATTCGGGGCCGGAATACAGGCACTGTGGCATACGCGGTTGATATTGGGGTTGAGGGGGGAGGAGGTGCGGTGTATTACGTTTGTGGGTTCTTCGAGGGGACGGGTGGAGGAGTTGGTTGGAACGGTGAAAAGGGAGATGCAGGGGCGGTGGGGATCAGAAGAGTGTAAGTTTCAGTTTGTGAGTGCTGATGGGAGTGATGGTGAGGTTGAGAGGTGTTTAAGGGAGGCGGATTGTGTGTTTTGTACGACGCCTTCGCAGAAGATGCTTTTTCCGGCGGCGTGGGTGATGGAGAGGGGTGAGGCAGGGAGGAGGATGCCGTTGGTTTCGGCGATTGGGTCTTGGTTGCCGGAGATGATTGAGTTGGATCCCGAGTTACTTAGGGGGGTGGTATGTGGTGAGGAGGGGGTTAATCCGTTGACTGGGGAGAGGGGGAGGGGGATGGTGTTGGTGGATGATAGGGAGTATGCGATGCATGGCTGTGGGGAGGTTGTGCAGAGTGGGTTGGCCGGGGAGGATTTGGTGGAAATTGGAGAGGTACTTGCTTTGAAGAGTGGGAGGACTCAGGTATCTGGTGATGAGCATGTTCGGCGTGTGGAGGGGTTTATGGAGGAGGGCTTGGTTGTTTATAAAAGTGTCGGCGTGGGTCTTACTGATTTGACGGCTGGAAGGGAGGTTTTGAGACTATATCAGGAGAAGCAGGGTAATTTGTGAGAAGGTAGTCGATTATTATTGATGCTGGGAACAATGCCATTGAAATGTTCAGCTGCAGGACGTATATGCTAGAACTACCAAATAGCATGGTTGTCCATCATCGTCGATACCCATTCTGCGTCAAACAATTCGATCGAGTTCGCCATGGCCATCATCTCAGCAGATGTCAACGATGGCTCAAATGCACATCCCATCACCGGTGTAGTCTCACCCCCAAGGAAAGGGTCAGCACGAGAGTTCTCTTCCATAGGTGTTGCTGTATGAGCTTCATGTGAAGAAAGCGGGTTCTTTGTGATAGAGCGTTGAAGAACTTCAGAATTGGATTGCCCATTCTGGTCCTGGTTTGGCAAGAGCAAATTCAGTTTCTCGTCTAGCTGCTGTATTTCCGAATGCCGGAAGCGTGCTATCTGATTCCCAGCCTCGACCATGTCATCAAATATTAGGTCCGCTGTAGCATGCCACCACGTATCGTTAACTACTAATTGACGGTCAATTTCCGGAGCCATTAGAAGCACCACTGTGGAGATGAAAAGAGATTCCAGATCAAAAGTGAGAAAGGTTTCTAGTCATCGTCCTGTTAGTCTCATAACAATATCGGACAAACATGTTCTTTACCTAGAAGACCCTGAGACGCAAGATCGTGCAGAATCCTTATGCTGTGCTGCGCAGAGTCTAAACACATTTTGATCAAGTTCCTAACACTTGGAGAGTTTTGGAGGGATTGAACACAGGTTTCCGCAGACTCAAGTCGGATTTTGAGAAAGCAAAACAACAAAGGCCTGGTAGCCACTATCACGCACTGATCGAGTCAATATGAGAATGATGGCTAGATAGTAGTTCTCACCTGTTGGTAAAATAGGTGCAGATATGCTGATACTCGAGAGAGTCCACTGTCTGTCGCTTCTAAATGTAGAGGGAATGACTTGTTCAGTTCATCTGCCAGTCCTGCCAGGTTGGACAATGCTCCTTTGATGTTCAATAGAAAGGTTCGGTTAAGTCTACCATCAGTGGCATATACTGCTGTATCTTTTTGAGCAAGGTTATCAAAGGTGTATAGGAATGGGAACCTACTGGCGTTGATATCAGCTATGCTCCGGCATAATTTTATGTGCATGTCTAAGCTTTTGATATTTTCAGAGCCCTCAGGGGAGGGCAACTTGGCTTGAATGAAGCGGTCGTCGACAGACTGGGGAAGCCCCTGAATAGATGTCATGTGCCTGTCCAGAATATAGACAGTCCACCAAATCTTCCGGCACCTCTCCACATTATCCCGTCCCAGCTCGGTGACGGACATGAAGGTGTGCATGCCATGAGCCATGGCCATTCTCATCGCTTGGCCCACCTGTATCCAATCAGCTAACGACTTCGCAAATATCTAATGAGGAGGCTGACATAGTTATGAGAGGCAGTTCGACAGTCGAGGGCTTGGTAGAAAATGGCAATACAGCATAGGATCTCGGTCGATACCATCGGTGAGGAGTAAAGGAGGGTGTGATCCGGTAGAATTTGCAAAGCTTTGACAAAGAGGCTGATACCAGGGGGCTTTCCTTTAAGGTACTTCACATGTGTGAACATTTTTCCGAAAGCCAGAATGATAAGAAAGTGGATGTACCATAGGCCCCTTGGTCTTGTCTGCTCATCTTCCGAGTAGAAGCTATAGAGTGATTCCATAAAGTCACTGTCATCAAACAAGTGGTATAACTGCCCGCAGCGAAACCTGACGGCATTGATCAGGAATATGGCATGGTCAAGAGTTGGAATGACAGGGCTTTCTGGACTCGGATCAGTTCGAGATCCGTCCCAGCCTAGGTCATATGATGTCCCCTCGAACACCAGCGCCTCTGTTGGCAAGGATTCTTTGTGGACATGTTCATGAACCATACTGAGTACGCGTCGAGCGAAGGACCAATTAGAGGATGTCCCTAGATAATCTAAAAGTTGTTAGACATTTCTCCAGGCCATAAAGTGTTATTAACGTACAAGTTCTTCCATTGCCCGGTGACATAAAGGCAGGTGGCCCGGAGACTAGTGGATTCACCAATCCAGATTCAGGATTTTCTCCGTCTGGGGGAGTATAATAGTTATCCGGTGTGTTCTCGGGAGGACGTTCACGAGAAGCCGAGCCTGAAAATGTTAGCATTGACTAGGTGGCCAGACAGTGAGAACCAACGAGTACTATTGTCGGGAGCCAATGCTATAGTGTGAAGGTCACTTGTATGCTTCTCCAATTGTGCTGCTCTCTGCTTCAATTCAGCAATATGCCTATGTAGATCTCAACTGTGAGTCGACGGTATAAATGGTTAGGCCCGGGATGGCAGACCTCCGTGTCACTAGAACCTTCTGGCTCATGTCGTCGAAAATGCAAGAGAAATTTCGGTTGCTACAGCTAAAGCATGGCTGTGTTCCAGAACACTTGATCTTTTGTCTTCGACATCGTACGCACCTTTTCAAACAACCATTAGCGATAGTAGATAGTTCAACACTTGAATGCCTCTTACACCTTAGCTGATCTCTTTCTGGCTTGTGCGACGCCTGCCACTGAAGTCTTTCTCATCTTGGGTGAAGCGTCCAAAAAGTGATTCAGGAGAATGTTCCAAGTATGACGGCGCAGTAGGGAAATCCAGTAGAAACATGCGATAGAACAACTTAGAGTGAGGTTAAGAAGCGAAGTTCAGCAGAGGGTTTCGGAATAGAAAAGATGTATTGAGTAGAGACAAGATAGATGAAACCACAGATGAGAAAACGCTATTCCATGAGAAGAAATTGCAATTTGAGAAGAAATTCTGATAAGAAAGATACTATAATGTAAGAAAGACTGATGTGAGAAGAGACAGATGCTTATCAAAAGATACCCCCACAAACAGGCGGGGAAATATTCCCCACTCATCGGCGTATTTCCGTAAAGTCTTGCACTAACCATAGTGAGATGCCTTTCATGACTCTACAATTATCTTCTATTATGATGTCAACAATATCTCTGGACTATTGGTTCGAAATTGTTCCCTTATAAATCAATTGAAAAGCATTGAGCATAGTGGCCAAATTCCCGCCACTTCCATCTAAACCACAACTAACCATAGATGAGTGAATTATTTTGATTGCGATAATTGGCCATGAAGGTTTCACAATCGCAACAGCTTGTCGGGAACGTTGCCGATACATATTGTGAGATATCGCTTAGGCTTCCGAAAGACTAATTCACTCCCCCGCATGCACTCTATCACCGAATGGCTGTACTATGTTCCATCCACGTCAGGAACGAATGGCAAGTAACCTGACGTATTACGAGAAGATGTCGCTGATCGGTTATGCTGCCGGCAACATGGCGCTGCCTATCTTTCCTGTCTGACCGGTACGCAGAGTATCAGTAGCATGGACATGCTCGAGCGGGTGCTGAAAGCGATAAATAGCCCACGAGCTCTGGCTAATCCTACGAACCGACATTCATTCGAAACCTACTTCTCTTGAGTATTATCCACCGAGAAAATGAGATTCGCCAGATCCATCAACGTCGTGGGCTGCCACTGTGCCGGCGAAGTATGCGATGTGATCGTCGGGGGTGTTTTAAATCCCTCGGGCTGCAGCACCATGTACGAGAAGCTCGTTCACTTTCGCGACAAAGAAGACCATATACGCCAGCTTCTCATGCAAGAGCCTCGGGGACGACCGGCTATGTGTGTGAATCTTGTCTTGCCCCCTTGCAACCCAAAGGCCGACGCTGGGTTTTTGATCATGGAGACTGAGGAGTACCCTGCCATGTCTGGAGGAAACACCATTGCCACTACGACTGTTCTTCTGGAGACAGGCATGGTGCCCATGACTGAGCCGATCACCAAGATAGTCTTGGAAACTCCGGCAGGCCTAGTACCTGTCACCGCGGACTGCGAGGGTGGCAAGTGCAAGGCGGTCGCGATTGATAACGTCCCTTCGTTTGTTTTCGCCCTGGATTACAAGGTCGATGTCCCTGGACTGGGTACTGTCTCGGTCGATATTGCATGGGGAGGAATGATCTACGGTATTGTCGACGCGACTTCACTTGGGATTAGTATCAACAACCAAAACGGGCCGAAGTTGATTGAATACGGAGAGCGAATCAAAGATGCTCTCCAGAAGGCCCCATTTGTTCCCGTCCATCCGGAGAACCCCAGCATAAGAGGCGTTAGTATCCTTGAATTTACAGAGCCGCTTCAGCGGGATACTATGACGGCTGTCAATACCGTTGTGGTTTCTCCCGGGCGGTTCGATCGGTGCCCGTGTGGCACAGGAAGCTGCGCAAGAATGGCAGTACTCCATGCTCGGGGTCAGCTCGCAGTAGGCGAGAGGTTCCAACATCATAGCATCATTGGAAGCACTTTCGAGTGCCACATCCGCGGGACGCAGAAATTGCGGGACTATGACGCTGTCTTGCCGACGGTGAAAGGAAGTGCTTGGATCAATTCCTTCAAGCAAATGGTGTTGGATCCCACTGATCCTTGGCCGGTGGGCTTTCGAGTTGGCGATCAATGGCATATGGCAGAGTAACAGCATGAATTTACGGTTTGGGATGTAGCAGACAATCCCAGATCAAGTTATGTCCATAGTTATGTACATATCCTGACTAAGCATAGCGGGATGTGTTCCCAAAGCAGCATAAAAACCCAAAACGGCAATGCAATTCATCCCACTTGAACATTTAATATGATAAAATACTAATATAGTATCAACTACTACAACCATGACTCAACACCCCTCCTCAGATACCACCATCTTTCTGGACCAGCCCCCAAGCTGCCTCCAATTCCACCCCTCCTCCCCGAACCACTTCCTCGTAGGCACCTACCTGCTCTCAGAACACAAGGAAGATGACTCTGCACCAATCCAACAAACCAAAACCGGCAGTCTCCAACTATGGCACTTAGATCCTGCCACAAACCAACTGTACCCTCCCCCTAATACTATCTAAATACATAAGAGGTGTATGGAACTAAGAAGTGACAGAACCCTCCGCCACAAACATCCTCTCCCATTCGCAGTCTTCGACCTGCACTTCCACCCCACTGACCCAACCCTCGCTGCCATTGCAACCAGCGCAGCATCAGTGGTATTTTTCCGCATCAACCCCGACATTGATGCCGGAGAGGACGTCAGTTCCTGTATCAAGGAGATCCACTCCCACCAAGTCCACGAAGACCCCTCCATCCCAGCACTCTATCTAGCCTGGTTACCTGCTGGATGGCACTCCACCATCACCACCTCCACTTCCAATGTTGAAACAGAGTACGGCTTCGCCGTAACCTTCTCCGACGGCCTAACCACCATCTTCAACACTAACCTACCATCCCCTCCCAATTCCTTCTCCATAGCCGAGGAATCATCCTATCCCGCAACCCAACAAATAGAAGTCTGGTTCGTAGCAGCAGCTACATACCCCCCACCTCAGTCCGATGGTGGTGATAAGATGCGCTATATCTTTACAGGGAGTGACTTTGGCTCGTTGCATACTCGCTATCTTCCTGCGCCTTCCAGCAACACCAACTCAGACGATGAGGATGAAGCTGAGGCTAGCACGCCCATCCTCTCCCACGACGACCGCGCCCGCCACCACACAGCAGGCGTGACTGCCATCCTGCCGCTCCCTGTGCCTATGACTGATGGCGCGCCGTGGCTTCTAACGGGAAGTTATGATGAGTCGTTGCGGGTGTATCATGCTTCTCGGCGGGGGGAGGTACTGGGGGAAATTGGGCTCGGGGGTGGGGTTTGGAGGTTGCAGGTTCTTTCCACCCAGTCTCGTACTTTGGATGGTGAGGAGGGGGGTAGGGAGTGGGAGTGCCTGGTGTTGGCGAGTTGTATGCATGCTGGGACGAGGGTGGTCAAGGTGCGGGTTGTGGGTGGGGAGAGTGGGGAGTTGAGGGAGTGTGAGATGGATGTGCTGGCGGAGTTTACGGAGCATGAGAGTATGAATTATGCGAGTGATGTGTGGAATCTGGGGGGAAATCAGGGAGCAGGAGGGGAGTTGGTGGTTGTGTCGAGTAGTTTCTATGATCGGAGGGTTTGTGTGTGGCGGGTTAATGTATGAGTATCCTTGCCTAGTCTACATAAGATCTGGGAAGAGGGAAATGAAGTAGGTTTATGTTATGTTCGTAAAACGCTCGAGAGGTCATATGCAGAAGTGGACATCAACAACAGGTATACCAACGAAACACGCCCCGTCCCGAAACGAAACCCGAGAATAAAATGATTATAGATAAATCAGACGATCGTCTCCAGCTCGCGCGCATAGCCGATCGCATTCTCGATGATCGTGCCGCTGGCCACGAGGATATCCTTCTCGGACCGAGCAGCCGCCTCGGGCTCGACGGGGAAAAAGATGCGGCCATCACGGAGGACCCAGCCGCGCTGCTGGGCGAACTCGATCACGGCGCCCTCCGAATCGAGGAAGAGGAGGTTCTTGGCGTTGGAGATGGGGAGCGACGGGTACGCCTTTTCGGAGCAGTCTGCGATTTCGCTGCGGATGGTTCCGACCAGGACCTGCATCATCAGTATTAGCTAACCAAACCATCGACGAGAAAACGCGGCGCGCATATTATAGTCAGGCAATGGTATACTCACATTCGAGAACAGCGCAAAGTCCTCCGAGGGCACGCGCTCGGAGTTGGTCTCCCGCCACACCTTATCGTAGCTTCCCTCCATCAGATTCCTCTCCAGCTCAACCGGATACTTGATGAACGGATCATCCTCGACGCTCTTGCCCTTCAGACTCGCCTCCTCGACCAGACCCTCCAGAACCGTGTGAAAGCTCGTGCTGTCGCCCATGCTCAACAGCAGCAGCAGATACAAGCCTGTGATCTTGCTGCGCTGGCTGTTTCGGATGTCCACGTGGCCGGCATTCGTGCTGTCCCGCTCCAGGTCGTAGAACGGCTGCAGCTGCTGGTAGTATCGTGTGAAGGTGGGTGCGTCGGTCTGTCGGATAGAGGCGATGGCTCCGAGCTCGAGAACCTCGCGGGCCTGGGCGACCAGCTCGGCGGGTGCTGACGGCGTGGGAATCAGGACATTCTGCAGGAGGAGGGCGCGCTTGCCGCGACTGAGGAGGTCGTTGACGGCTTCGAATTGTTGCCGGCCGAGGGCGCTGTGGAGCTCGGACACGATGACCTTGAGGTCGTTGGCCATTGTGGATTAGAATAGTAGAATGTATCCGCTATGTAAATATATGTGTACGAGGAGCAAGATAGGGAGATATTAGGAATGATAGACTGGTTGGATTGGTGTGGTGGTGCAGTGGTTTCGAGATGGAAGTGCTGGTTGTGACGTTGGCAGCCGCAGCTTCCAGGAGCTTCGGAGAAGCCCATCACGTGACATCATCGGGCAAAATCACGGATCGAGCTTATCTTGTTTACATCGTTTGAACTCTTTTCTCTCATTTGCAGAGAGCCACTGGCTCTTCTGCTTACAAGCTGCAGACTTTCAACTATGCTTCATCATACATTCTCACATAGAAGGAACCCGCCTTTCTGCAGCTTTTGAAAGACGCCCTCCGCGTCGTCTTTGGCCGCCGCCTCCGCATGAGCCTAATATTCCAGGCTCCGTAGCTGCCAAGGAGTTCCTGAGAGCCACTCGCAAAGGTCATACACCCGAAATCCAAGAGTAGGCCCTTCTCTCTGGCCAGTGACTGTAGCGTCTTGGACATACCTTCTACGGTCTTTTGGGCCGCGGCATGGTCACTACCGCCTTCAGGCATTCACGGATCAAAACCCACCCAATTAATTGCGTGACGTCCCTTTGTCCTGTGGATGAAGATCAGACCGTATGGGAGAATTGAAAGCAATTTACAGCGCTGTTGGACACTTTCAAGGCCCATGATATTTCTCCGCGATCTTTACCGATCTGAACACCAGCCGTACCCATTGACTGAATGGTGTTATGCAAGACAGCGCCAGAAGGGTGGGTCTTGCAGACTTCGAGCCTCGTCTTATGGATGTCCTCATATAGCTCCTGTAGAAATCTTCGGAGAAATTTTGCAAATGGGACGTCTGTAATCCCGCATTTAGTTATCATTTTCGATTGAACTAATGCATATCGCCCCCGTGGGGTCTGTACTCACTTCTGGGAAGTTTGGGCGTGGCCCACCTCACCCAGAGCTTGGGAAAATGACAGTAGCGTGCCGTTAGTGGATGGCAGCACCATAGCCACAAGGGTTTTGAGGTTGTGGAACGGCTCAAAGGCCTTTGGTGGCTCAGCTGTGTGGTCCCTATAGAACATGCCGACTGCGTCCAATCCGTTGTTAAAATTGGCAAATAGCCCAGTCTTGGGGTCCACTTTTTGGGCCTGATGGACTGCCACAGTGTCTTTAGTGATGGCCATATGGTCCTCTGGATTTCAGACGTTGATATTGTATTGAATCTTGATCAGAGGATGAGGTTTGTGGTCAAACCGTGTTACAATGCCTGTTTAGCATGTTAACGTATCATCCAAATTATGCTCGGGAGGTGCCATAAACACCAAAGTTGGAGCCACCGCCCTTCATGGCACGATAAAATCAGGATGCTCCTTCACGTTGGCGTTGATGAGGCTGCCATACGCTAGTAGAACCTGCAGGGATGATTTGCTGTCGGTATCTAGACCTTGACGAAGACAAAGACGGTAAGAAGCTTGCCTCAAAATTCTTCACGCTATCAGCACCAAGTCCAGAGCCCCCATGCCTCACTTGTGTAATAGTTAGTAACTTTGACTATCCAATTTAAAAATAAGCATCCCTGCTGCCTTCGCCCCATTCAGGCATCCTACAAAGCATCAAAGATGTAGGCTGCTCGAGGAAGATACAAACCTTCCAAAGAAAATCCGCCCGTATCAAATGACACTGCTGATGTAGCGGTTGGTATATTCAAGCACAGCTGATTATTGGAACGGGCATCAATATCCATGGTTGGAACCTTCCATGTTAGGCCGCGCTGACGCCGGTATAAATGTACATCAGATGCGCCTTACTAGTGGGATCGCTTAACACTTCTGGATGGGAATTCAGTCCGCGACACAAAGCTGTATTATAGTATTGGGTGTCTGGCTATTCTGAATTTTATTGCAGGTGCCAGTACACGGGAATAGACTTTCGACGCCAATTTGGTGTACGGAAAACAAATTGCGATGGTACTTTCAGCTGGTGGTCTGAGCACCATCGTCGCACTTTGGTGCTTGGGTTTTAAAACACATCTTAGGTTGATCAATGAGAGTCTGAACCGTTATTTATCTCGCCCATTATTACTATACCTATGAGACCAAAAGGTCGGCGTAGTAATGTGTCTTGACATCTTATGTGCGATCCTAGAATGTGACAGTGACTCATCCAGGAGCATTGTATAGTGTCTGGCATCGTAAGTTACTACGCATAGAAAGCCGAATCTGACAGCCTAAGACATTTTATGGTCTTAGGCATTAGTATGCTAAATGTGGTTAATTAATGCTTGAATCCAAAGGAAATCATTCCTAAACGGGCAAGAGTATAAGCCCCCGTCTTTGTGCCCAAGCACGTGTTTTACTATATGCTTAACTCGGGTAGTAAACTTCCACACGCAGTATATACTGGACCGCTGAAACCAGTGGCTTGATACATGACGGTTCTTTTCACTCTTAACCCCAAGCTCCCCATTAAGGCCCTGCCTCACATTCCTAGGTACCATTTAGACCCTCCCATCCCCCTCAAACGCCGTGCCGACTAGTTGTCAAGGAAACATGGTCGTCCAGTTCTGCGACGATTGTGGTAACCTTCTGGATGAATCATCCGATGACACTCTGGAATGTGGGATACGTGGAAAGACCGCTAAGAGTACACCACCCCAGCCTCCCTCCCTAAGTACCGCAGGGCTGACCAAGCGCAATAGACATGGCAATGCATCATGCGCAGGTTTCCACATCGGAGAAATTCCCTTCCCGGCTCAGGAACAAACTGAAATCGAACACGCAAGAGGTGACTTATAAAACTTTCGGGAAGGGTCCCTCCATTGACATGGCATGTGTCAAATGTCCTTCTTAGGGAGGTGACCTATGCCCAGGTTCAGTTGCGGAGTGCAGATGAGGGAAGTACTATCTTCCATACCTGTGCTAAATGTGGACATAGGTAAGTAGGGGTCTCGCGTGAATGCGGAATGCTTGCTAATTCTGGCCCACCAGATGGCAGGAGGATAATTAAGGCGATATTTCCGGAACACCTCTTCTGCCTGAGTATCAGAAGGCCATTTCATCGTCGGCTCATGACTTTGATTTCACGAGGATTTTACGGATGGCGTGGGACCTATGCTTTGTCCAAGCCAACCCCTGCATTCAGTTTCTACAGTCAGGCCTAGTATGGAACGAGACATCAATATCATTTCCAGATAACCGTACATTGCAGATTCTCATAAACAGTCCTTTACATATAACATGCTCAAACAAGCAAACCATTTCATCTCACGTTCAAAACCATAATCAGCAGCATCAGCATCAAGCCAAAATCTCCTTCTCATTCTCCTTCAAGAATGCATCGACGGAAGTAAGTCCCTCCGCCAACGTCCCCAACTGCTCACGACAGTTACTCACTCCATCCCCACCGGGCACCTCGTCCGCCCATCTCGACGAAGCAGCACCAAGATGTCCCTCCTTGATCATCCCATCCACGACCTCATCATCCAAAAACTCCACCTTCACCTCTTCACCCACCACCTTCCCAATCTTCCCTGCCAACTGCTCCACAGTCACCACCTCCACGGCCACATCAACAGCCTTGTTCGCAAACCTCTCAGGCTCCTTAACCGCCGCCGCAACCACAATGCCCACATCCCGAGCATCCACCAACGGCAGCTCCGTGCCGGGCCGATATGCCACGCGCAGGACCCGCTCTTCCTTGAACGCAGGGAACATGAAGTCCCGCACAGGCGGCAGGAGGTTCTGAAGGAAATGGCCCGGTCGGACAATTGTCCAGCGCCCGCCCTCCTTAGCTTCCGCTACTTCACGAACACGATTCTCCAAGGCATGCTTGTTCAACCAGTACTCTTTCATCGGATGAGCACCGCTTTCCCATCCGGGGAATAACTCATGCTGGCCTGTCTTCAACGCCGTACCAAGAATGATATGGGAGAGAGTGGATGACTCCTTCGCAGCGAGAATGATGTTCTCCATGCGCTGGAAATCAGCCTCGGGTTTGCCGGTTTGCACTTCGGTGAAGAACACGGCGTCCACGTTTTGTGTCGCATTGCGGAGAGATTCCAGGTCGTCGAGGTCGCCTGTGACGAGAGTCGCACCTTGTTCGGCGAGTTGGACTGCGGCGCTGCTGGCTGGGTTGCGCACGAAGGCAGAGACGGAGTGGCCCGCGGATAGGGAATGCTGGACGACGCCGCGGCCTTGGTTGCCGGTGGCGCCGATGACGAGGATAGTTTTGGGGGACATTGTAAGTGGTTGGTTTGTAGTATTGTAGATTGAGATGTGAATTGTGTTTGATAGGAATGTGGTTGGCAATGGGGTGGTGCAGAGAGAAGATTTATAGCTGTTTGTGCTGCCTAAGCTGTTTGTTAGTGCTTACTGCGTGTATAGTAATTCTTAGATCTTACAGACGGGCGAAGGATCTCTCACCGTAGTAAGTTGTTGGGTAGAAGGCTGTACGAATGTGGGTTGGTAAGCTTAGATGTTTCAGAACGATTAGCTTATGCAGTATATTCTAGATTACTACTGCTGTACCTAAGACACTGGACACAGGTAGCGGGTATCCTAACGCATCGCGGATGTTGTCCTCAACACGAGCACCACAACCACTAGTAAATTTTAAGAATCCACTTTCAATATCTAGTATCGTCCTTCAATTCCGACATTTATCGCCCTTGGTTTGGTTACGAAATCTATTCGTCGCAATCATCTCAAACTAATCACCATTGGCATAACAATAGACAAAACATCAGCAGCACATAAAACAAGACCAGCCCGCTGCGTACTAAGCTGACAGCGCCATCTGCTCCAGAGTCTGATACAGAGGCGTCCCCAGCCCAGTAACCGGGTCCCATCCCTTGGTGGCATTCCAGCTGGCATACGGGACAAGAGCTCCTCCATTTGATCCCTCACAACCCACTGATCCACCGTCTACAATATCCGTGAATCCCTTCTGATCGAGCGAATAGAGCCACGGGTTCAGGAACCCTAGGGTGGGTTTACCTTGCTTAAGTCGTGCGGCGTTTAGTCGGGAGATGACTGCTGCGAAGACGGGGGCGGCGGCACTATAATATTATTAGCTCGTTCGATTCTAATGGTTTGATTATGTGTTTGGTGGTGGTCTACTCACCTTGTTCCCGCAGTCTGTAACCATTGTCCATGGTCCCTAATAACATAGTTGCTAGCCTGAGCCGACACATCAGGAATGCCCCGTCCGTCTCGGTTATACAATCCATCCCATTTACTTCCCAGACGCGCAAGATACACTTCCACGCTAGCGTTCTGGTACGACGGACGAGCAAAGCGCTCGGAGAACCCACCTCCCGAGATGTCCACAGCCTTTTCCGGCTCGACGCCCTCCGTCCCACCCACGGATGTCACGAACGGACAGGAAGCCGGGAAGATAGGTTGAAAGCGGGTCCTTTGACTTCCATCGTTGGATACACAACCCCCTCCGACGCCCGAGTCTCCGCTACTGAAGATCACCGAGACCCCGCGCGCACCTAACTGGGCGAACAGATTGCACGTGGCTTCCGTGTATTCCTCCGGAAGGCTTTGCTCCTCCTCGCCGTAAGACGTGCTAAGTACTGCAGGGAGATCCTCATCCGGAAGACCCACCAGATAGTGGAGCTGTTCGAGATACGGCTCGTTGGTCGATCCGTCGGTACTCACCGTACCCGTGTCCGAGACGGACGGGGCACGTCCGGCCGTAGTGTAGAAGGTCGCGTTAGCGTTGAATGCCATGGAGAGGGCGTATTGAATGTCGAGGCTGGCTTCTGTGCTTCCTTCTTGGGAGTTTTGGGGGTTTTGACCTCCGTTGATGGAAACTACGCTGAAGTCGGCGTCTATGCTGTCTGGAGAGTATACTTCTAGGAACTCGTCGAGGTCGCTGTAGCGTGCGTATTGGTCGAGGTAGCCGGAAATGCCGAGAACGTTTCGCGAATCCGGGGTTGCTTTGGTACTGGGTAGGCCGTAGAGTTGGCGGAGACAGGCTGGCGTTACGCCTGTTAAGCAGTCTTCGCTTATTTCGTCGATATTAATTGATACCGGCATGAGGCTCGGTAGGCTGGTTTGCGTCTTGGGCTGTCCGAAGCGAGTCGTTGGCTGGATCATTTGGAGAAAGGGATCGACTTCCTCCGGGACTGAGTACTTGAGCGTCCTGATCTGGGTTGTGTTTGTCTCCAGGTGGTGGAAGTTGTAGAAATCTGTCTTCATCATTGACTGTGCTTGGGCCAACGGGACCGTGAAGGCGAGCCAGTCCCCGCGATCCTCAATAGCATCTGATGGAACATGCTCCGATTCAAGCCAGGATAAAATTGTCTTTGAAACCTGGTCGGATGGGCACATAAAGGCTCTCACATCGTCACGTTTCATATGCCGTCCATAGTCTCGGTGACCGGGTGTCGAGATATCGATGACTTTCTGCTCGAACTCCGCCTTGTAGTCATGATGCATCGACAACCAGAACTTCATCGGAGTGGCTGGCGATGGAGCTGCGCCTTTACTCCATCCTTCGGGGATGCTGCTTAGTTGGTCTACCACGACATAATCAGGCGCTGTAGCTATACCCGTGTGTAGAAGGGACAAAAGTCCCATGAGATATTGGAGATATGTCATGGCCGCTCGAATGTCGCATTAGTTTCAAGTACTGATACCTGGCGTGTCTCAGACCTTCACCCACCTGCGGAGTAGATTACCGCAGAAACTGTCTCTTCCACTCCAGAAGGATGTCGTGCTGTGGTCGCCCGTAGCTCCCTCCCTCGATATAAACCAAGGAAACCGACAGTTATTGTGAAGAACACCCCTCTTCTCACCCGCGAGACTTTTTAGAAATGTCGGGTATTCCAATAATGCGGGGTCTTGTTACCAGTTTCATCGGTGTGGTTGGAAGAGACGCGTTAAAGTTATCGAGCAATCCAGAGGACATGGAGAATGTGACAGCGTGTTTACCAACACAGAGAGCGTGTAACTCCGCAGATCCACGGACACTAGACGCCATTTTTGCTGGAAGAGCTTCATTAATTGTTAGGCTATAACCATGAATTAGCATGTCTACGATGTGCGTATTGAGTGTCTTTTAGCGAAATCGAGGTATGATAGTGGTTCGAAGCTTCTACGTCCTTGGCAGCAGCGCGACTCGCTTAAAGGGCGGTCCGGTCGGGATTGAGTCTATTCAGGGCTCAATGCGCAGGTATTTATTGACTCCCTTATTTAGCAAAGGGGCGTTGGGAATGCGCCAATCAAGGAGTGCGGGAGGCTGCAGCTTGTTTTCCATGGGAGATAATCCTGTGGTTCTATAGCTGAATGGAACAAAGGAATTAGTGCAATTGATAGAAACCTTCAGTGTATGCAGTGTAAATACCTTGCCTTAGCTAGAGTACGTTATAACGGTTGATCATGTAGTTAAGAGCTTACGGTCATATGCTGCTTGCCTGATTCGCAAGGACAAAGGACTGGGAACATTCAGCAGATACTAGGTTTCTCATACTCCGCTTTGTCTTTTGTAATGCTGACTGTCTATCACTGGTAGACACGTCCTAGCTGACACCTCATGGACTCGACAACTGTATTATGTGGACAAACACAGCCAGCGGTGCGGATCCCAGTATTCGAAATTTATTTAAGAAGCATACTAGTTATAGATGTTCAATATGATGTTTGATCGGCTCTCTTACAAGATTTTTAGACATTTGGGACAGAAAGGGATAGATACATGATTGCTGTATGATTATAAACTAGATGCAAAATAATGTATAAAGTATTTAAGAAAAAAAAATATATAATGCGATTTAAGTAAGAGTGCTATTTCCTGTTGTATCACTTTTCTATTTAGCTCTATCCAGTTCTAGCCTGAAACTTCTTGTCATCTTTATTGAATTGAGAGTTTCTTAGTCCCTGCTGTATTGCGTCTTCTCTATCCAATGTACTCTGCATGCTCCATGAAGACAACATCAGACCGAAGCTCTTCTATATCCTCATCCCGTAGACATATCGCAACTACGACATCGCCTTCACGCGTCTTGGGTAATAGAAAGGTCAACCCTTCTACCTCATTGCATTTTGGCTTTCGTACCGCCAATGGAAATCCAAATCCAAGGTTGAAGTCGAAGCAACAGCCCTCCAGTTTCGCCCACGAACTAAAAATAAGATCCGTTGTTGTATCGATCGATGCGCCAAAGGAGAATGTACTCTTGTCAGGCGTAC